CTCTCTCTCTCTCTCTCTCTTTCTCTGTCTTTCGAAGGGAGGATCGTTCATCGATCCACGATAGAAACGAACATAGCCAACGTCCTCGTCGTGACAGAATGCCTTGTCTGTCGACTAATTATCCCCTCGTCGGTCGTTTAACGCATCGATTCCTTCTTCCGGAAGAGCGGAGAACGAACAAAACATTACGGCGATATCGGTCGAGTGTAATAGAATCGTTAGACAGAGTCCCTCCCCTCTTTCTCTCTCTCTCTCTCTCGTAATTTTCGAAAATTTAATACGACTCCAGAGAGAAAGAAAACGAGTCTAATGCGAACAGAAACGAAACTGTAAGCGAATTTGAATTACTCGACGGTGAAAATTGAGAAACTGACTTCGGCGCGTAAGTTCGGCAGCATGATTCTCGGTATCGCGACAAGAACGTATATTTTTCGCATCTCTCTCGCCGCGTGGATTTTCTTAAATCCCACGTCCTTACACGCGACAGCTCGCTTCGCGAAACGAAGGGAAACGAGGATCGTTGAAATCTTTATTGCCGGATCGGAGAAACCGTCGAACGAGAGCTTTATCAAATCCACGGTCATAAATTAAAAAGCGAGTCTCACTCGGGGATAGGGGTTAGGGGGATTCCGCGGCGGGCATCCCAACGATGTGCGTCCAGGAGACATCAAAGAGCAGGCCAAGTTATCGCGGCCGGCCAATGACGTTAAAAGTTCTGGTTCGCGGGAGACCAGGTAGCCGGAGGCGACGTTTCCATCGGAGGGAAGCTACCCCGGCCGGTTGGCCGTGATTAAAATTATTGCCAGACGCAAAGTCAACACGCCGTGCAAACAAAGGATAAACACATTCGCGGGCACCGGAAGGCCGGGTGCACGAGAAGTGGCGCGATTAGCATCGCAAGATATTTCTCCTCGTTTGTCCCCGCGGTGTGGATGCAAGCAGGGATTGAAGCGCGTTTTATATTGCTTTCTTGTGATCTCTTGAAGCGTCGGGCTTCGAGGGAACAAAGGATAAAGGAGGACGAGAAAGAGAGAGAGAGAGAGGAGTAGGAGGAGGAGGAGACGAAATGAAGCAGGAGAGCAGAAACTATAAGAGTGAAAAGGGGTAAAGAGAAAGTTGCCGTAGGCGAGCTTTGTAGTTATGGACGAGTTGCGCGACTGGTGACGAGCAAAAGAGGCAATTTGTTAGAAGAGGAGCGCTTTCGTCGCGAGCTGCGCCGCCGCGGTCGCGATACATTTAGGACTCGTCGCGAGCTTGATCCCGACACGACGCTCCGTCCTCTTCCTCGAATCTCTCTCGTCCTCTCTCGTCTTTCTCACGCCCGACCGAGAAAAGGAACCGTGGAAAGTGCTTCTTGCCTGTATTGCTTTCCACTTTCTCGTTTTTCCTTCTCTTTCAACCCCCCCCCCCAACGCCTACGACGGAAGGTTTTACACCCGTGAGCGACAATCGGTGTTAAAATGCGTGAATGCACTCGAAGCACGCGCGCCCGCTTCTGCACGAGCACGCGGCGAAGACCACTCGAAAACAAACGGCTGT